AACGTGTCTCTGCCCATGCTATTTCGAAACAGTCAAGATAGGATTCCATCGAAATGAGACCGCTTTTTTTAACATTCTCTTGAGAAACACCCGAGAATGGATTCTTTTGACTGATGAACGCTTTCATGTGAATTTGAGGTCACTTTTGATTCAAAAATGACAGCTCTGCAGTACGATACCCTGAAACTGGTGCCAGAAATGGTGGAACCTTCAAATAAGTCATACTTTACAACTGGCAGTCCTGATTTCAAAAAATGTTTTTTTTTTTTTTTTATAACAGTTTGAGCTACGAAAAATTAGAGCACGCCATTGGATCGAGCTTGTCGAGTTGCACCAGAATCGATCTTTCAAAAACTTATGTTTGAACTTCTCTTCGAGAACTCTTATAGTGCATCTAAATTCAGGCAATAACGACCAAGAATGCGTTCCAAAAAAGTTAGCTTTTTTTGAGAAAAGAAAACGTTCCAAAATAGCTAGAACAGTTAATAACGCATTTCAAAAAACATGGAATGTGTTCTTAATGGTTCCATTTTGGAACGCTTTCCACTTTTGTTGGAACGTCTTCTTTTCTTAAAAAAGGCTTTTAATTTTACGGAACGCGTTCTTTCCCGTTCTTTGAAGCAAATATTTTCCACTAGGTTTACGGTATCCTCTTGAAAAATCTGAATTTTAATTACTCTTCTATTTAAATTGCCGATAAAACAATTCATATCAACTATAAAAGTTAGACTAAGCGATTCAACATTTGTTTAGATATTGAACAATTCTTTTCGAAACACTCTCGAGAAAAATAAGAAGATTTTGTGATGTCTTTACTTATCGAAATATTGTCATCATATATCTGAATATGTGAAGAGAAGACACTCAACACTTAAACTTGATTTGATATGTTCTTAATGAATTCGATGTGATTAGAAAAAATAAAGATGAAACATTTCCAACAGATATGAAAACATGTGAATAGAAAGGAAAAATATTTCTATAAAATGATTCGATAAATCAATTATTTTCAATAGTCGAAAAATTGTTCTGAAAAATTGTTATATCACCATAGATCTTGTCTTAATGAAATATTCGGTTCATCAACATCATTTCAACGAACAATATCAACAATTGCTTTTAGAGATAATGATGAACTATAAAAAAAATCAGATAAAAGAGTTGTTATAAACAATGGATTAACATATGCATGATAAATATATAAAAGAGAAATAGTTATATAGGATATGAAACAAGATAATATGTAGAGACGAATACAAAAAAAAGGTTTTATTTAGAATTAAATAACCATTTTTGTGCCAATTCATCATTATCCATATTTGGTATAATTGATTGATGAATAAATTCACAAAATGATTTTGAATTAACTGGTACAAATTTATTAAATGTTTCTTTGTTAAAAAAAAATTCATCATGTTTTTCTCTACGTGAATTGACAACTCCTATGTGAATACCCACAAATTTACCAGTTGAATCAAGTATTAAAGCACCACTTGATCCTAATAACGTACTACAATCATGCATAGCATATTGATTATCTAGAGATGCTTCTTGTATAAGACGACCAATTGAAATTGATTTATTATTTACATGATGAGAATAATTTAATGTATCAATTGTTAAATTTTCAAAATCTTTTAAATACCTATATGGTTTTAAATCATCATTTTGAGTCAATTTACCATTATAGCCAATCAAAAATAATTCTGAATTAATTGTAATATTTGATTGAGATGATGAATTTAATTTAGGATCAAAATATTCATTTAATTGTATATGTGGTGCTGGTTTATCTAATTCAAGAATAGCAAGATCAGTTGTGTTAGATTTTACTTCATTGTAATCGAACATATTATCTTCAATTAAACCACGACGAATTATTTTAGCTTCAATTAAGAAATTGTTTGAATCATTTGAGAAAAAATATGTTTCAGAAGCTGGATCAAGAAAACACGCATATATTTTAGTATATGATACATTTTTGTTTTCCCATTGAATTGGATCGAAATTATGTGCACATGTTAGAACAAGTCGATTAGTTAATAAAAGTCCATTACCGAAATACATTTGCTTTGTTGATTCATGTTTATATAAAATACCAATACGAAGAACCATTTTACGAACAAATAATAATGATGATCTTAAATTTTCACTTGGAGTTTTTGGTAATTCAATATAATAATTCAAACCATCGCTAGCATATGTATATGTTTCTTGTATTGAATTTGTTTGAGAATTAAAAAATGCACGTTCCGTAGAAATAAATTTTGGAATGTGATTAATTCGATTTAAACGAATTTCTTGTTCTTCAGAACTTACCTAAAATAAAACGAGAAATTGTTGATGATTATTTAAAGAAAAATTTTAATATAAATGGGTACAAAATTTTAAATTATCGAATTTAAAAAAACTGTATATCTTTGTTTCTTCTATCAAATTTGAAAACACTTAATTACAATAAATATTAACCTCAAGGTAAGTTGTGTTTCATTAATAAAGATTTTTTTACTCTTTAACTAATTTAAATTTACATGGAAAAATCAAATAAACTTCTTTTCTTACTGATGAATCTAAATCATCTGAAAATAAATAATAATGTCCTGGGATTTTAACAAATTGATCACGATATTTCCAGTAATTTCCTGTTAATTCATGAAATCTAAATAATGAAAAATAAAATAAATGTGATTCTATTCTTATGTTTTTTTAAGTGCCATGCTTACGTTGAATAAAAACTGGACTTAACTACTTCAGTATTCTCATTTGATACATTAACAATTGATTCATCATTTGATCTAGAGAAAACATTGGATGGACTTATATTGATCCTAGATAATATATTATTATTATTATTCTTACTTTCGTAATAATAAAGAATATTTCAATTGTTCATAAATAATAGTTATTTGAATTTCATCAAGGATTGTTTGATTATCATCAGCATACTATAGTGTAAGACACAAATCACCTATTTTGAAATAACTTAAAACTCGAACTATTCTACTTTGATCAATTTACAATCAAATGTTCCATCAATATCACTATATACGTTTTTTTTATTAATATTTTTTGATGATTTTTCATCAAGAATATCACTTGGACTGTTCATTTTGAATCAATATCAGCAATAAACTTGATTAATTGAACAAATAAGAATTAAATAAATAAGAATAAATGATGACCAGAATAATTAAACTAATCAATTGATGTCGAGTATTATATCATTTCGATGAAGAAATGAATAGGAAAACGAAGAAATAAGTAACGTAAGTAATATAAATCTAAAATGAAAAAAAAAAATTTGTTGCTTTTTCTGCATGTTACTGATGTACAATGGAACTGTATCAAATTTTTGTCTTCCTCGTTCAGAAACATTTATTTTAATGTTTCTTATCGAATTGTACAAATATCTCATATATTTCATGTCCACTTGTTCGATACTCTCTTTTTTTGGAACATTAGATTGAATAAAAGAAAAGAATTATAGATAGGAGCAATAAAGGGCGAATAGAAAATCGCTGGCTATTTTATTATTTAAAATATCGCTCTTCTATGAATAAATTATTCTTATTGATGATTTACATGTTATGCAAAAATTCTGATCCTCATTCAATAGGATGTCCAGAAAGTCACTAGAGTTAGAAAAAATTTGGATACCGTGGTGATTCTTCAACCAAATGAGCTGAAATTTTTTCTGTAGGTAGAGGACAAATAGCACTTTTTATTCGTAAACGAACAGTCCATTTATGGGCATGAAACCAGCGAACTTTTCTTCACTATACACCTAGTTAGCTATGATGAGGACTTATTTACTATCCAAAAGTAGCTCTGTTATTGTGATTTTGTGCTAAAACCAGGTCACTTGCTAAGTTTAACCATTGTCTCACTTTTCTTTTTGTTTTGAAATGCGTAGCTGAAACAGAAGTATGTACATGTGTATGTATTCATGTGAGTCAAAGCACGCGTATTTAGAGATAACGAAAAGAAAGGATGAGAGAAAAGAAAACAATGATATAAAAGATGATCCACGAGATAATACAACGCGTAGTATTGCTTATTGCATTTACGATTCTTAAATATGTATGCAACTCGTACTGCTGATGAAAGAGTCACGATTGTGCGACTTTTTTCAAAGTTTGAAAATGCAATCGACGTACACTGAAAAGAAAAAGGTACCATACGAAACTTAAAAAAGGTTCCGAATTTTGCAACGAAATCGAAACCTTTTTAAAGTTCCGTATAAATGTGGTTTCGTACGATACCTATTCTTTCCCCTGTTGCAAATAGGTTTTGTATGGCACCTTCCATCAGGTATCAATGCCTATCAGGACCAACATCAAGATACTCCTCTGTGCTCCTACACCGAAGCATTCATTTCGTTTTCCTCGTCAAGTTTTTCTGTATAAAAGAAAATGCTTTCGATAATGCACAGCCTACTTCAAAAAGTCGAAACTACCGACCAGAAACTAACATCTACACCAATTACTAATCAATATACTACGTTAATTTCCTCTTCATTCATAATATACTAAAACATCGTAGTTATAGCATCCTTATATATACTAACCTAGATGATCGTTCTCAGCAGGACCCTAAACAACAAAAAGTCAATCGACTTTAATACTCATAGACTTCACTCGGATTCCTGTCGTTATGATAAACCTTCATGAGAAAAATTTATTTCATCAAACCGATGATAAACTTACCGAGAATTCTTTTCACCACAATGAACCTAAAAAAAAACACTATATCTTACTATCAAGAAACTTACCAGCAGCCATTAAGCAATGATGAAACCAAACCAAAAACCAAACCTTTTCTACTGATAATATACTAACCGAAAACGTTCCCAAAACCTATCAACCTCAATAGAAAAAATGAATTCTATTTTATTGATGACAAACTCATCAATAATTGGTATCCAAATCTCTCTGACTCAAAAAAACGAATTCAATTTATGTAATGACAAAAACACAGAGCATATTTCTCATCGTCATAAATCTAACTGCCAAAACTCAAATCCATTTCATAGCTAATGAATTTCCAAGAATCCGGGTTGTGAAAAACCTAAACGAAAAACATGTCTTTTAGCGACAATAAACTTACCATCAATCATTCTTCCGCCATAAACCTAAACAGAAAAATGCATTTTACCATACAAACCATAAACGTTCTAAGGCTTAACACCCGGATAAATCGAAAGAAAAAATAAATTGTTCTTCAAAAATCAGAGACTCACCATGAATTATTATACTATCATAAACCTAAAGAGAAAAATAAATTTTATACAAATCATAGACTCACCAAGCATTGATATACTGATACACCTTAAGAAAAAAAAACTTCCTTTTCAAAAATCAAAAACTCCCTATGAACCACTATACTAGGATAAACCTGAACAGGGTGTGAGTGTGGGTGGGTGTGGGTGTGGATGTGGGTGGGTGGGTGTGCGTGGTTGTGGATGTGGGTGTGAGGTGTGCGTGTGAGTGTGGGTGTAGGGTGCAAGTGAACAGAGTACGATACCCACGCCCACCCACACCACACCCACATCCACCCACACTCACACCCCACACCCACATCCACCCACACCCCACGCCCACACCCACCCATACACCCACGTCCAGGCACACACTCACCCACATCCCACATCCACACCCATCCACACCCACATCCACACCCCATACTCACACACCACACCCACACCCCATACTCACACCCCACACCTACACCCACATCCCCACCCACATCCCGCACCCACACCCACCCACACCCCACAGCCTCACCCATTCCCGGATCCCACCCGCACCCCCAGCCCACACTCACACCCACCCACGCCCACGCCCACAACCACACATACACCCTCCACACCCTGTATGTCAGGGTCTGTGATGTGTCCAGATCTGGTCTGTGACACCCCCAGAACCCTGTCTGTCACGGTTTGTAGGAGGGATAGAGGGGAGCGGGTTCACATTTCTACCCCTAAACACTTTAACACTCCTTTTAGATCGTGTTTCACAAAGCTGAACTTTGACCTTTTTCGAAACAATTGGATTTTATTAGAGGGAAGTCGTTAATTCTCCTTTTTATTTGATTGGTACATGATATGGTATCAGCATATATTTGCGCTACATTGATTTATGCGAGAAATTTTATACTTTAGAAGAAATTCAAGTATGCTTCAAGCTTATATTTATGAGATTTTATTTGTTGTCATAAATCCTTCACATAACCCAATCCCTCCTCTCAGTTGTTTTTTGCCATATATAGGGAGTAGTCTATTCATATGCATCTGCAAGGTTTAGTCTGAGAACAAGGTTTTCATCAGTGTCATTATGCTACTATCATTCGTATTCTGCATGTATTTGCTTTCTGTTGTTACTAGTTTCTCGCTCAGCAATGAAACTAAATTCTTGAACTTCACATCGCTTCTACCGAATGTTATTGAAGTAGTAGATCCGTCATCATCCATCGTTGCCGCAGCACCAACAAGTCGTAGTCTTGCCAGCGGTACTGCTAACACTAACATTGTAACACTGTTTAAATACAATGGTAGTCAAATATATGTGTATAGTTCTGTATCGAATGAAGGTGAAACACCACAGAAATGGATCTTCTACTATGTACCGGTGATGGCACCTCAACGAAGTTCACCGACTGATCCATGGGTTTGGTCAACGAAAAATGAAGTACGTATTAAACTGCTATTAGGTGATGATGTAGTTGATGAAATGGCGCGAGAAGCTATTAGAAAAAAATATGATATGAAAACTGCCGAGTATGCAAAATATTGGGATGTTGCACCCTTAATGATCGACTCACTCACAGCTTATATCGTGCAAGGAAGTAAATCACCGATTGCTGGTGTAGAACTGTTTCATGCAATTCATCCGAATTCCCATGTCGTGAGAATCACCGAGATTTTCGCGATTTTCTAAAAAATTGGCGTAAAATCGTGATTTACCGTATTTCTTTAAAAGATCGACGATTATATCAGATTTTATCGCGATTATGGGAGAAGAGCTGATTTTCAAAAATCATTGATAAATCATGACAATTATTCATTCACCGTTTTGTTATGAACACACACGGATATATAAACAGCGCCATTCAACGCATAACAAATAAGTTTTCGAAATATACTTTTCTGATAAATTATTTCTTGGTTATTTTTAATCAAGGAAATGCCAATCCCGATCCATGATCTGGAGAGGACTACACTGAAGCGGTCTGATAAGGATCGGACCAGCTCGAGATCGGACAGATCGCACGATCTGATCGGCTTGGATCTTGAGAACAAAAAAATTGAATTAAATTCAAGAAAAAATCCAAATATGTGTCACCAAAAGAACCAATGAAATAGTAGAAAATATCAGTAAACAGACGGTTAAATCTTGCATAAAATCACGATTTATCGTAAAAATCGCTGAAATAATCGGGAATAATCGGCAATTCTATCGCGATTCAGCTCACGATTATCGTTTCGATGAATCGGGATTAATCGGCAATTTTTAGCCGATTCAAAGGACATGGGTTCGCTCATCATGATTTTTCGATTCAAATGTTCAACAGAGGAAAATGCTCGGCAGATTGCTGAAATGATTGAAAGCGGTGAATATGAAATTGAAATCGCCTTCTACTTTGCTGGCTTCCGTCAGACATCTACTAGTTTTGTATCAATTACCGGTGATCAACTGAAAGCAGCAGCGAGTAAGACAACAGCTGATGGTGAAAATCCAAACGCTCAGTACATACATCGTGATCGAGCATCTAAATTTATTGGAAAATATACGATGAATATTAAGAAATTAGTCTATTCGGAGAGTCCAGAAGCCAACACACAAGCACTGTCAGATGGTCTCGAAGCACAATTTCTGTCATTACTACAACAAGGTAACTTTGCTTGTTAAACAGATTTTTATAAGCTAACCTTATCACATCTATATCCTTTCTGTTTTCAGCTATGCAAGATGCGACTATGGAAAAACTAAAATCTGATGCACTTCAACAAGTTTGGTCACCATCGGATCTGGATCCAGATGTATTAGAAGCTGAAATAACTAAAATGTTTTCGTATAACCAATCAGAAACGGAACGTCATAATGATAGTAAAATGTATTTCAATGGCAATGTGGAAGAAATGAAACAATCAGCTGCAAAAGGAAGTGGTAGTCTCTCAGGTAGTATTGGTAAAGGTTTCTTGAAAATTTTCAGTCTCGGTTTGAGTGGTAGTGGTGAAACAGCAACTACAACTTCGTCAAAAAATCATACAATTACAGATCAAGTTATGTCAGAAACTGATATACAGAAACATCTGTCACATCATGCAATGGAAACTGAATGGCGAGGGAAAAGTTGAGACCAAAAGAATTTAAAGTTTACAAATTAAGCGATATCACAGATCATTTACAGATAGCTGTTATTTCAAAGTAGTTGTCAGTGGATAAAGAACAAAACGCCATTGTTCGAATAATTAGTACAATGAATACACCATATTCGATTCCAACTAATCATACTCCTTCACACTTAGTTATCCCCGGTGAACTTAGGCTCTATTCTGGTGCAAGTAAACCTCCCTATCCATGGCTTCTGTGTGATGGTTCGACTGTGTCACGTGCTGAATACCAACGTTTGTTTGCCGTCATTGGTACACAATACGGATCTGGCGATTATGTAACAACGTTCAATTTACCAGATTTTTGTGGACGTGTTCCAATTGGTGTTGATCCATATGAATTACGTGTGAAACAGGTGACTGAAACTGGCATAAGTGGTGGAGCAGCAGTATACAATTTGACCGTTGACCAATTGCCAACTCACCAACACACACCAGGTTCATTAACCATTAGAACAGCTGGAAGTCATACACATTTAATTAACGATCCAGGTCATAACCGTGGAGGCTCTACAAGTAATGAGAGAATGGGAGCTGGTGGTTGGGGTATGAAAACAGGTGGAGGTCACAGGAGTGATCAAGTATTGCATGCACATACTATTCCTATCGGGAGAACATATATCAGTATTAACGCTGCAGGTGATCACAGTCACTCAGTTAGTGGTAATACTGGCTCAGTTGGTCGCGGCAGTGGTTTCAGTTTGTTGCAACCATATCAATCTATTAATTACATTATTTATGCTGAATGAGACGAACTAATCATAGTGACTGTTTGCGCTACTTCATTTTCAATAATATATGCGCGTTTTTTCATTTGTGTTGAAGCAAAATGCGGCTATGAAACATCAAACTGATGGCGTATTTCTTTTAAAATGCCAGCCGCCATTTTTTGAATAAATCTTCAACATTAATACTTGTCGAATTCGGGTCTTAGTCATTCAATAAAGCGATGTGAGAAGCGTCTGGCTTTATGCGAGCCATTGCGATTGAAAAAGTTTTGGGGTAAGGGGTGTGGGTGTGGGTATCGTATCCTGTTCACTTGCACCCGACACCCACACTCACACCCCGCACCCACCCATATGTAGCACAGGCTAATAGTGCCATTTAAAAAAAAACAAAAAAGGTTTTGTTTGAAATGCATAAATAAAACAGATCGTTTTCTTGACCGTCGATTATCTTTGGAAAACAAGTATAATTTGTTAGAGATTTTTCTTTTAACGAGTTTTATATTAGTATAATAAGGCTAAAGAATAATTAGTTCAAAGTAATTTATTCTTCAATAATATATAGATTCATCTCAACAATGTCGATTTATTGAAGTTTTTCTTCATCAAACAATATTTTATTTATCTTCATTGGATGATATTCATCAATAACTATCAATAAATTTACAAGGGGGAAACAGCGGACTTGAAGTACAAAAGTACCTGAAAATACAAAAGTAACTTCAAGTTGCTTCAAGTAGCTCAAAGTACATTAAAAATATCGCAAAGTAACTTCAGGTACCTTTAAAATACAATCAAGTACCTTCAAGTACCTCCAAAGTCTCTTAAAGTAGTTTCAAGTACCGATAAGTATATCAGAGTAGGCGAATAGTTTTTCAAAAGCTAAAAGCTTATCAAATGAAAACCGATTAAGATGAAGAAATACGAAAAAGTTGTTTTATTTATTTGTTAAGCATAGAAAAAGTATCAATAAAAGAACACAAAAAGGGTGTGTGTGTGTGTGTGTGTGTGTGGAGTGGGTGTGGGTGTGTGGGTGTGGGTGTGGATGTGCGGGTGTAGAAGTAGAATCTGTGGGTGTGGGTGTTGATAGTAGAAAAGACACTCACATTCACATCCACACCCACGGCCACTCCCCACACCCGAACAACCGCACCCACACCCACCCACACCCACACCCACACCCACACCCTCATCATCGTCCTCATCTTTCTGAATATTTGGTCGATAAATGGTATCTAATTCAGCTAAATAATCAAATAAATGGATTTTATTTTCTATGATAGAGAACTAAATGATTTATCAGGTAGAACACGTTGAATAGCATAAAGACATGAATTTTCAAGAAATTTAGCCATTTATTTTTGTAAGTAAATGTTGTAATTCAAATGTATGTCTATTTTACCGTGTACTGTCAAATTGAAGTATAAGATCAGAAACATTACGTAAAACTACTACTGAGGATATAATACATTATGTTGTTTTAGAATTTTTAAATATTATTTCAAACTGTTGACCACAACGAATACGAGTAAAATCATTATTTGCTTGAAATGTTGGTTCATAAAGAAATAATATTTGCATGCTATGTGTACACATTACGTTTATTATATAAGGCTTATTTTTATTTCAAGCAATGTAATAGGTTAATTAAAGTAAAGATTAAATTTCTTCAGTTAGTTATGTTACTCATTGAAAAATTCACAAAAAAAACTTATCAGAGAAGTTTTACTTCATTAGATAGATTCTATTGAGATTAAAGAAAGTGTCAACAAGGATTCTTCGTGTTTAAGAATTCTTTTTATAAAATGTCGTATTTCGTTTGCAGATTATTTTTAAAATCAGTTTTCGTATTCAAATATCACACACACATAATATGAAAAAGTAAACTTTGTTCATATATTTATGTGTCTAAATAGGAAATGTTAGAAAAGTTGACATTTTCAAAATGAATGGGTCCTATTCAAACTTCTTATGTGAAAGTCGTATGCTTGTCAAACCGAACCGAACAGAATTCAAACTTGTAATAGGCTAACAAATGCATTAGAGTTAAGGATGTAGTGAGTTTGACCCTCTTGATCTCGATATATCCCTACATGGCGTTCATTTCTGAAGTCAAATCATAAAGTATAGGAAAATTTTAAGTATTGAATTAATACTTTCGTCACTGAATTTATAGTAAGTTCTAGGTTAGCTGAAAAATTAATATGAAGTTATTCACTTTTTCAGGATTTATCTAAATAATCTTCTATCTTCATCTTATTAAATTTTTTTATATAAGTTCATCAAAAGTTGCAAGCAATTATGTTTTTTTTTTTGTAGTTTACAATAAGTAATGTACCAAATTGAATATATTTTCATCGTTTCTATTACAGATAACCCTGAACTGATGGATCGTTTTCATGATGAACAAACACCATTTGTATTTATTGATGGCATTGAAAAATTATCGTATAAAATTGCATATATTAATCTAACTGAATCGAGTAAAAAAGCATTATTTATGGCTAAAGCTGAAATATTAGGAATAATGCGATTGAGAAAGGTTTATGGTTCACAACAACCATTGAAAGGTATTCATCTTGTTGCATGTTTACATTTAACAGCACAAACTGGAATAATGATCAAAAAATTTCTTTTATTATAGGTGCACAAGAAAATTATTTTCTTTTCAAAGTCTTAAGATATAATTATTCTCTTATATGTTCAATAGAGTTCTTGTAATCCATTATCAACACAAGATCATATAGCAGCTGCATAGTTAACACTCGTGTAGCGATTTATACATGGAAAGGTGAAACTGAAGAAGCCAAACTATGATGTATAGATCAGATAAACAGTGACAATGTTTTTTTTTTGAATTTCCGTACGAATTCAGGAGTTTAAGCTTAATTATAAAAAAAAGTATAGAATGTATACTTTTCAGGTCAATTTACTTGTAGTGACTTATATATAAATATTTATTTATTTTCTAAAATAGAAGTTGAAAATTGAAAAAAGTGGATGATGGTTGTAATTTAGCACGAATTATACATGAAAAATATTCACATTAGGCAAGTATGATATAAAAAATTATGTAAATTATTTTACAATAAAAATTAAAAGTTCCAGTCATTAGTGTTCATGATAGTGTAACAAAATTAGAATTTGATAATAATTATGGATATAGTCAAAGTCGGATTGATGGTATCGAACGGGCTAGGATGTCATGATCGAAAGAAAAATAGCAATAGTTATTGAATATGGCGTAATGTTGGAAACGGATGTGCAAAAACACACACTACTTAGTTATGATACACTAGTTATTGTTACTGAGATCGATACAATATGATCATTTTAATCCGTTATGGATGGTAAATACTATTTATCTATTGACTATTGATCGGTTTAATAGCCAGTTTAAAAGAATTTTGTAATTAAAACAACCGTGTGTTTTCAATTTTCCTTCAAAAAGAAAAAGAAAGAATAACAATTTCAATTATTTGATTATAGAGTACAAAGTTTTCTTTTTTTTATTATAGTTGAATTTGATTTTAATATTTATTTAACATTTCAATTAATGTTAGTTCTATCATCACTATCTACTAGCGACGCTCTGCGTTTGACAATCGTGTTCGTACATTTTATCACATTAGGTGAATTATGGATAGTAAACCTACTCTGTTATAGATGAAAATTATTTATCAAATTTTTTCTTTATGCAAACTTTACTTGCATTTGTCTATTAAAAATTCAATTTCTAGATTTATTGCTAAAACATGGATGAAAATGATGATCAATATCGTTGGGAATCTGGTTATGAAAAAACTTGGTAAATAAGATAGTAGAAAAAAAAATTGTTGAATAAAAGTTATTAATTCAATTGTCTATCTCTTCTTTCAGGGAAGTTATTCAAGAAGATGAAAGTGGTTCAATCACAGCTACTATTAATGCTATTAATCAAAAAAATCGACGTAAAGAATTGGCACAATTACCTAATGTTCGCCTTGGCATGGTTCGAAAATTCTTTATTTCGAAAAATCTAAGATTTTATTTGATTGTTTTCTTTTTTGCTCTAGATGCGTCATCTCTATTTGGTTCTTGATATGTCAGATGCAATGAAGGATCAAGATCTGCGACCAAACCGACTATTTTGTTCTATTGAAGTTGATTAAAAAAAAACTTTTTTCCGTGTTTCTTTATTTTAATTTTTGTTTTTGTTTTTAGCTTCTAAAAGAATTTATATTTCTTTATTTTGATTCGAATCCAATATCTCAAATTGGTATAATAATAACACGAAAGAAACGTACAGAAAAAATAAGTGAATTAGCTGGTAATCCACGTTCACATGTTGCATTACTTGAACAATTAAAATATCAAGAATGTGAAGGTGAAGCATCAATACAAAATGCACTTGAAATGGGATTACAAACGTTAAAGTAACTATTAAAAAATACCACGATAATATTTTTAATCAGTTATTTTTCTTCGTAGACATATGCCAAAATATTCTAGTCGCGAAATGCTTTTTGTACTTGGCTGTTTAACAACATGTGATCCTGGAAATATTTTACAAACAATTAAAGTATAACTATTTTTTTTTCGTTTTTTTATTAATTGATTTATTTATTCGTCTATTTAGACTTGTAAAGAAAATGAAATTCGTTGTTCAGTGATTAGTCTTTCAGCTGAAGTTCGAATTTTTCGAAAATTATGCGTTGATACTAAAGGTAAGGAAGCACTTGATGCAAGCATGTTAGCATAATAGACGCTAGTTTGTAAAAGTTATCATAGAGATGAAGAATACCTTAGCAGCATCCTTGCTGTTTCATATTTGAATCCCATCGAGATGGTGTTAAGATCTTTTTCATTTAGGTTTATATCATGTTATTGTGGATTCAAGTCATTTTCAAGAATTATTACAAATTCATTCTCGACCATTACCAGCTTTAGATAAATTTGAATCATCACTTGTACGTATGGGTTTTCCAAAATATCGAACATATACAACATCAAATGCAAATATATCATCAACAACAACAAGTAGTACAAAACATGAAAAAGCTTCAATGTGTATGTGTCATTTGGAACAACGTGGTGGAACAAATGGTTTTTCTATAGGTGGTTATTTTTGTCCAACATGTGAGAGTAAATATTGTGAATTACCAACAGAATGTAGTATATGTCATTTAACACTTGTATCAGCACCACATTTAGCACGTTCATATCATTTTTTATTTCCTATTGAACAATTTATTGAAATCACACTTGATCAATCAACAAATAACAAATGTTTTGCATGTCAACATATATTTGATGAACAAAAACATAAAAATATATATCAATGTACAAGTTGTAAAAATATTTTTTGTTTCGAATGTGATCTTTTTATACATGGAACTATATTTACATGTCCCGGTTGTATACGTTATGGACAATTAAAATAAAATATACGCTATATAAATATGAAATAGAAAATTTTTTTTCTAGATGTTTTCTAGATCATTATTTATTTTATCTAGAGGAATTTTATTACAAAGAACAATGTCGGTTGAATCACCATATAAATCAAATATTATGGACAAACAAGTAGCTCTTGTAACAGGTGGTTCAAGTGGAATCGGATTCGAAATTTGTCGACAATTAGGGAAACATGGTTGTAGTGTTGTTATGATGGGACGACGAGCAGAGGTGCTTACATTAGCCGAAAAAACGTTAACTGACGAAGGAATTCGAGCATTTGGTGTTCAAGGTGATGTTCGAAAACCGGAAGATGGCGTACGAGCTGTAAAATCGACTGTTGAAAAATTTGGTAAATTAAATTGTTTAATTAATGGAGCAGCTGGAAAGTGAGCTGATTTGAATAAAGAAAAAGATTTATTTTGAAAAAAAAAATGATTTTCTCATTAGTTTTCTATGTGCAGCAGAAAATCTTTCACCAAATGGTTTTAAAACTGTTCTTGATATTGATACACAAGGCACGTTCAATATGTGTCGTGCAGCATTTCCAGAAGTAGATTATTCTTTATCGATAAAAGTCTTTGTTTTTTCATTCTTCTATTCGCTTTTTATAGCTTCGTAAAAGCTCAAATGCTAATATTATAAATATAAGTGCAACACTTCATTATGGTGCTACATGGTATCAATCACATGTTTGTGCAGCAAAGGCAGCCATTGATGCTCTTACTCGATCATTAGCTCTTGAATGGGGTGAATATGGTATTCGTGTTAATGGTATTGCACCAGGTCCTATTGCAGATACAGCTGGTTTTTCGAAATTAGGTGGATCTTTAATGGGTGCAGATAGTTCTAATAATCCATTGCTTGAATCCGTACCTTTAAAACGACTAGGAACTAAATGGGATGTTGCTATGTCAGTACTTTATCTTTGTTCATCAGCTGGACAAAATATAACAGGTAGTATATTAGTTAATGATGGTGCCCATTGGCTTCATAAACCACCAATACTTGATCGTGAAACTGTTGAAAGTTTTTCACGTTCAGTAGAAAAGAAAAGTCGCCAAGAAGGTATTGCAACAAAATCAAAATTATAATTTATTTATGTTTAAATTGGCTTTTGTTTTTATTCTTTTTAATAAGCAAAGAAAAAAAAAATAATAAAGAGAAATACAACGTTTAACATACAATCACCAGATATAGTTCGAATGAACAAAAAAAAAAAAAAGAAAGAGAAAAAACGGAATGAAGAAAAAAAACACAAGATCTCTATGAATAAATGACGACTAGTTAAACAACACAAACAAGAGACACGAAAAAAGCAGAAGAAGAAAATGCTTGTCGTCTTATTGTTGAAAAAAAAATTCAGAAAATTTTAAAGATCGGGTACAGAAGAATGAAAATATGGTTGAGAATCTTTGACAAGTAAGGTATAACATACATCACATACACGAGAGGGGCGATTATGTGGACCAGTATGAACGGTTTTATTAGTACAATCTTTACATAGGACTTTACCTATTAAAAAAGAAGATATTATAATTAAATTATTTAATTTTAACTTACCACAGTGACCTAAAGAAAAAACAAACGAAGTTCTTAGTTTTTTTCTTCCAACAGAACAAAATACAAACACTTACGACAATGATGTTTACGCCAAGTGACAGAAAATGGTGAATGACAACGTTGACATTCTGCATGATCTTCTTCAGGTTGCCAACGTAATTCATTTTCTGAATTTCGAATTTCTTCTAATTGTACCTATTGAACAAGAAGAAGAAAAAAACCAATAAACAAATGATATAACTTTGATAATAAAATATTCAATAGAAAAGAAAAGGTAACTTATCGTTAACTTACTAACATACTTGAAGCGATTGAGAAAGTTTAACAAAATCATGTTGAACTAATTCATTATTTTCTAAATCAACTTTTAATTTTTGAATTTGTGCACGTAATGCAGCATTTTCATCATCAACTTGAGCCTAATAAAGAAAAACAAGATGATTAATTCTATCTGCAATTCTAACTTTATAAACAAATAGTGCTTATTTATATCTGTACCTTTGCTTTAGCAATTTGTTCAAGTTTTTCTTTAAGTTGATTTGTAAATGAATTCGCTACAGTTTTTGTTGTTTTTAATTCATTAACACGTTCATCTAATTGTTTTTCAAGATTATTTTTTAAACTCATAACACGTTCATATTCTGTTTGAAGACTTTGTAAAACAACTATTGAATGAAAAAAAAATTTTTAAGAAAAAAAAAAAATAAAAATTCTTTTTTTTTTGTTTTTTTACTTATTTCATCTTTTGCTGTATTCAAATCTCTATTAAGTAAATTTTCAATTTGTTCTCTTTCACGTATATCAGCTTTATGATTATATTGTAATTGTTGAATATCATTTTTTAATTTTTCTTTCATTTTTAATTGTTGAATTATTTGTTCACGCAATTTAACAATTAAACCCCATGCTTCCTTTAAAAGATAAAAGAAAAAAAAAAGAAGTGTTGTTTTTAAAATTTGTTTTTTTTTATTAGAGTAAATACTTCAAATGTTGTTGGTGATTGTGATGAATAAGTTAATAATTTAACTGTTTCATCATCATTGGTCATTGTAACAAGTGATGAATTTTCGATTTCTAATCGTTGAATATATAAATGTAATAATTCACGTTCTTTAACAAGTTTTTTTATATTATTAACTTGTTCAGCAAATAAATTATCATAATGTAATTTCATATCACGTAAATCTGTATCATTTTTTTCAGTTTTTTGTGTTAAATTTGATAACTAAAAAAAATTCATTTGCTTTTTGTTCAAAAATTCAATTTTAATCAGCGAAAAATGATCAAATAGAGCAGCTGTATCACACTTATTCTCACCCTCAATATTTATTAACGTCTAGAATGATCATGAAAATCTTTAAGGACATCTTTTTTTTTATTCGTGTTATTTTTTGCTTTCTAAATAAATTTTCTTTTTTTTTAAATATTTACTTGATCAATGATTGTATTTGTTTCTGCTAATTGTTTTTCAATTTGTATACGCATCTGTTGTTCCTTTTCATATTCACCTTTAGCTAATGATAAATCAAATAATAATTTAACATTCTCGTCTTGTTTTTGAGTATTTAATAAACGTAATTTATTATTTTCTTCACGTTGTTGAGAACATTTATCACAAAATTTTTGAGATAAATCCATTATTTGAGTTATCTAAATTATAAAAACAACATGAATCCTTAAATTGTTTAGGTTTCGTATGTTGTTACTTCTCGTCCATAATTATTGCTCATCTTTTCTTTTCTCTATAGATATCATTTTCTACGTTCTGTACTATAGAGGAAAGAAAAAAAAAGATCGGAGTTAGGGTAAAGGCACTCGAACTATCATCATGGCAAGTAAGAACGAACATCTTTTCTCTTTCTTTCATTGGTGTAGAACAAACCTGTGATAGCAGTTCATCCCAATCGGTGTCAGTTTTATGATAACGTGCTGCGCTTAGTTTAGTATCATCGTCATCATTAATAGTGTTTGAATCTTTTGAAGATTGTGACTCATTAATAGTTGACATATTTGTCATCGAACTTTGTGTTTGTGATGAATCAGTTGACTTTTCTTTTGGTCCAATAATTTCTAAATATGAAAAGAAACAAAATAAATAACATAAAATATAAAAATTTTGTTGTATCAATAATAGATCAATTTCATTTTCTGAAAGAAGAACATGAAGGAAATACAATAGGATAATATAATTTCAAACAATCAAATTTCGCTCAAAGCACAAAGTAAAATGATTTGAAATAATGATAAGAAATATAAATTCATTGAGTGAAAAAAAAAGTCTTTTACCAGCTAAAACTTTATGTTGATCCGATGTTAATACAGTTAATAATCGACGCATTTGATTCAATTGTTTTTTTTCAAATGCAACAAAACGATCATGTGTACGAGCATAGATTTGTAAATATTTATCTCGTTCATTATTTGCATGTTTTTCAGCTGCTTGACCTATGGAAATGTTCAGAAGTTAAATATGAAAATCAAACTATTGTTTATTACTTTCATTCAGTTTTACTGTTAATTCTTGTACTTGATTTTTTAATTTTTCACAAAGTATATTAAGACGAATAATTACTAATTCATAAGAAGCGCTGGATGATGATGTGTTAACAGATGGAATAGTTTCAGTTGATGATGATGTTGTTGATTGATTATTGGTTTCATAAGAAGTGTCATTCTATAAAAATATGACGAATGATATAATTAATAACATAAAGAAAAGTATATAAATTAAGTCAATGATATATCGAGTATCAAACAGGTGAAATAAAAAGATAACTGATAACGAATGACCCACAATTCCTTTTTTCTTTGTCCTATAAAAAATATTCATGTAATCAAACCATCGTATTACTTTTTTTTTTGTCGTCGTCTATCAGTTTTATTTCAAGGTCGTAAACAGGTGCTTGTCTTTCTCATTGTTTCAAGTCGAGTATTAAAATACCAACGATATATAATCTATCTTTCTATATCACTCGCTTCTATTATTTTTAACAAACTAAATATTACACAAAAGAAACAAAACTTATGACTGGTCGTCGTTCAAATCAACATGTTGAACAATTTCATTGGCATCTATGGTTATTATTTGCTATTGAAAATTGGATACTTGATTTTGGTCGTCCAATAGCTATGTTAATATTTCCTCTTAAATGGTTTCCATTAAATTTACCAAGTGTTGGAGATTATTTTCATATGATATATAACGTAGTAACACCATTTATATTACAAAGTTTAATATTAAAAAGTCCAAGAAAATTTAATCAAAGTTTATTTACAATATTAATGACTGTATTTGTTATGGGTGCAAGTATACATTTAGTTGGTGATTCAATAAATCATCGTTTAGTACTTAATGGTTATCAATTACATTTAAGTGTAAGAGAAAATCCAATTATGCAAAAACTTGATCCACCAAGTTTAATTGATTCATTTGAACTACTTTATTTTTATGATGAAGAATTAGGTCATTATATGTGGTTTGTAAAATGTTTTTTTTTCCATCGTTTTTTCATTAATTTTTATGATTTTGTTTGTTTTTTTTTCTTTGTAGGTATTTACCATATTTTCTTTGTTTTTTACTCTTCTTTAATAGTACATTTGTTCCAGTACAATCTAAAACGATTGATGCAAAAGGATTTTGGCCATTAGCTTTATTAAATTCAACATATTATTGGTATTTAGTTACAGAAGGACAAATAACACCATTGTTTATTGTAACAACAATTCTTATGACTTTAATGTGGCTTTATCAACGGTTTATTAATGGAAATCGTTTAGATGTTAATGGACGATTTCTTTTATATACATTTCATATGACAATTATATTAGTTGCTGTTTGGACAAGTTTCTTTTGGAATGATGAAGTATTAAGAACAAAATATGCATCAAGTTTAATTTATGTACCAGAACCATGGTCGGTTTATTCATTATATGGAAAAAGATTTTTTTGAAGATGAAGAAGACAAAAAAGAAATTTTTTTTTTCATTTATTTCATTTGAAATTTAAATTTTAGAATAAATAATATTTAAAAATAAAAAAAGAAAACTGAAGCGCACTTACTGAAAGTTGATCATTAGCTTGTTCATTTGATGGCAACGATATTTTTACTTCGCGGGGCTGTAAAAACAAATAAAAGTGTTTAGATTTTCTGAGTTTCAAGCTTGTACTATATTTCAAAGCTTGTTTAAAGATTATAGATTGGAGCGGGATGAACTTTGAAATCTCGTTTCTTATTAATGGAATTACATTAGAGCATTAAAATAGATTAGAGTGAATGACCTTTACAAAATGTCTTATATTAATTCTTATTCATGAAACACAATACAATCATAAATAACTTCTTTGTTAGTCAATCAACTATGAATAACTCAAGTATTATGCATCAGAAAATATCAAATTTACTTGACTGTTTTTTATAATATCCTATAACAGTGTCTAATGAGGCAATCACTCAAACTAAAACCCGTTGCTTGAGCTCATATTGGGTCTATAATGATGCCTTGCTGAGACTAATAAAAGTCTAAAAGAATTAGTTCCTATGCATTGTTGAAGAAGAGTTATAATTGTTTTACAGAATTTCGATGGTTCTACAAGTTTCAACCGAAAAGAATGTTATTCCTATGGGAATATTGAAATTTTTCAGTAAACTCGATATCAATGGTATGTATGTAGCAAATGACTATTTTTTTGGAATTTCAATATCTCGACAATAAAATACCTTTTTCAGCTAAAAATTTCAGTATATTCTACAGGTCATTTGACTTATTTATTCGTAAACTTTTAGATCGAAACTTTGTATTTTTGGTATGTATCAAGAATTCAGTGGAACGGCTATAATTCGACGTCAAATACCTATAGGAACAAATTCTTTTAGGCTTTTTCTATTCATATCAAGACTTTCTTGTAGCTAATATGAAGTTAAATGAGTGATTCCTTCATCAGTAGTCATAAAGAAAAGCAATAGATTTCTTGTACAGTATATGAAATTATAGTTCTCTTTGATTCATAATTGTTATTGATTCAAGCGTTGTATCTAGAGTTCATCAAGTTCAAAATTTCTGAATCCAGTAATTTTAATGAAATTTTCTAATCAAAATTCAACAATTATCCCGAAGATAGGTGCAACAACTTCAGAATCAAAATTAGCGAGACTCTACTCATATGAAGTTGAGTTACATTTATTTAAACGAAATAAAATTTATTGAAGATTTTCTATTTTTTCTTTAAAATACACTTACTAATTCTTCAAGTTCTGTAATTTTGTCTTTTGCTTGATTTAATAAACTTTTAAGTTGAGCTATTTCTGCTTCAAGTGGAATAATAACTGATTTAAGCATTAATGTACTTTCTTGTGCTTTTCTCATATCTTCTTCAAGATTTTCATTTTCTTGTGCTATTGATGGTTGATTTAATGTTAATTTATCACGTAATGATCTTGATATTGTTGCTATTACGCTATCTCTATTCATAAAACATAAACACATAAGACAAATACAAATTTAAAACAAGAAAAAAAATTTTACTTTTCATCGGTAACTTTTGATCTTAATTCATAATTTTCTTGTTGTAATAATTCAAATTTACGTCTTAATATATTTAATTCATTGTCATATTTTTCTCGCATATCATCAACACGATCACGAACTGTTTCTACAAATACAAAACAAAAAAAAAAAAAACAAGAAACTTTTTAATCTTCAAACATGAATTTGAAATTAACCTTCCATCAATATATTAATTGTTGCAAGTTCTTGTTGATGTCTTTGTTTTAAATCAGCTATTTCAGCTATTTTAGTTGAATCAGCAAAGTCTACAACAGCTGTTAAATTATTTAATTGAGTTTGTAAGGATTGTAATTCATTTGTATATTGATTATTCTCATTTTGTAATTTCGATATATAATCTTTTATATGATCGGGTAATTGAGATAAATCTTTTCCGATAAAAGAAAATAAAATTTATAAATCAATATTTAAAAAATAAAAATAAAAAAAAGTAGATTAAATGTCTTTTTTGTTTTATTACCAATTATTTCCGTCATTGCTGCTATTATTATTATTTATTACAGAACAAAAATAACTAACTGACCCGATTCGATCGATTATTTTTATTTTTTTTTTTTTGTATGATTTATTTCTTAGCCAACTAGATGTGTACGAGAAGTAAGAGAAAAAAAAAGATGTCACTATGAACTAAATTGTTCGTCTTTGAATAGTTTTTGTTTTTTTAAATGTTCTTTCATTTTTTGTTCTTCATCAAGTAAATGTTGAAAATAATTTTCTTGAAAATTAGCTATTTGTGTATGTTTAAATTGTCGAAGGTCAGCAACTTTTTGTATCATTAATAAACGACGTTGTTGTTCTAGACGTTCTTGTTCTTGTCGTTTTTTTTGATGATGCTCATAACGAAGCATATTTAATGCTTCACTAATCAGTAAGAAAAATTTTTATTTTTATTTTTGTTATTATATGTTTATTTTACCGAGCATCACGTAATGCGGTTAATTTTTCTTGAAGTGTTTCAAAATGTTGACGTTGATCATCTAGATCATGTTTTAATTTTTCAAGATCAGTTGCACATGTTTGAAGTGATATAAATGCAGAAAGTAGTGCAGTATCTCCTATGACATCACGATTACGTTGATCTATAAATATTCAATAATTATGAAATAAGGATACTTGAAAAAAAAAAGAGAGATTAATAATATTGAGAAGATTAAGTAAACAAGAAACGAAATTTTCATATTTGAGAGTTCAATTTTCAAGTGAATGAATGATTCAAAAAAATAAAAAATAGTCTAGCCAGTGTAGACATTTTATGAGATTGTTTTTTTTATGGTAGGTAATATTGAAGAATAGTCTTATAATATTTCTATGAAAGATGATTATAAATGAATGGTGAATTTTTAATAGCAAAAATAGATTCATCTCTCTCATCTTGCACTAACTTGGAGACGAAAGGAGAGTGAGTAAACTAATGACGTTATTGTATAATAAAGTCCATAAGAGTATTAAAATGATATCTATGTCAGAATTAAAGAGAAATGGGTGTGATCTTAATAACTCGACGACAGCGATAGCTGGCGATCTATACGATTTTCAGCAATCGAAAAAGAAGAATTCTGAAAGTTTTTTTTTTTTTTATCGAAGACAAAATTATACTAACACTTATCATCTTTGTAAAACACTCAAAAAGATTCATGAAAACGATGGTTGTTTTTTTCAAGAAAATCTATATTATTTGACCAAATAGATACGTAATTTTGTTTGTTCGATGTTGAGATTTGAGAAGATAATTATGTCAATCATACCTTGAACTATATATCTGAAGTCCTTCTATTTGAAGAACGTGTCAAAATTAAAATTACATCGAAATAGAACACTAGTTTCATGCATTTTTTTTGAGTGTTTTCTCAGAATGATGGAATTTAAAATAATTTTGCCTTATAGAATATCACAATAAAAAAAGCATCAGCTGTTCTCTTCTTTAGATTGTTAACAATCACAAGTCGCTAACTATTGTTGGATTATTGAGATTATGTCCATCCTTCTTTAATTCTGATGCGAAATGTCAATTCGAAGTTTGTGAAAATCTTCTATTGGCATTTTCTCTCATATTCTTTATCATGAACATAACACATATCGACAATATATAATAAGCGACATTTTAGAGTGATATTTTTAAAGAGCTCTTATTTTCATTACAATCAGTTTGAATGATGGTATTTATCATAAGTATTTACATTAAATCGATTTATTTATCATTCTTCATAAATATTACAGTTCAATATCGAAATTAATTACACTTCTTTTAAATAATTTAATTTCATATTAAAGTAATTTGACTTCAAATATTTATAGATTCTATTTTGACATTTATTTTTATATGATTTAAGCGCTTGAAGGAAAAAACCAAAGTGAAATCTATATAATTAAAAATCCTGAATTATATATTAGCTGTAAAATAAGGATGCTATTATTTCACGGTAAATATTTCAAAATGCTTTTAAATTTGACAAAGAAAAGATCTAATTTAGTAACAAAGATTATCATTTCATTGTAATAAAACATACTGTTTGATGTTAAACAGTTGAACTGTAGTTCCGTCAACAAGAACTACCTAAGGGTATAATCATCAAATGAAATGATTGTGAATATTAACTTGCTAAGCTAGATCAGTCATCTCATTCTATTCATTATCATTATATGAGTGTAAATACAGTTCTTTGACGGATTTCCACTATGAATTTCCTTTTGTATAGTAATGAATTTTATCGAATAGATGAACAAAATAGAACTAACTTCATACATATATACACATCGGATCATATACAATAAGTTGAATCAATGCTTTGATTTTAATTTTCCGCTAGATTAATTTGATATTATATCAAATAAATTTGACTTACAATTGCTTTTTGCTCTATTCATAAATCTTTCAATTGCTTCTGTAATTTTTTCTAATAAATTTTCATGATTATCATTGAATTCTATTTTGACTATTTGATTTATTTTGTCAATATGAATACTTTTATTTTCATTAAATTTTCTTTTCTGTTTTAATTTTTCATCAGCTTCATTTTGTGATAATGATATAGCTAAAGCTAATTGATAATCATCATTATCATTTTCTTGTTTTTTTCTTGTTGAATGATTTAATGTTTGTGAAAGTAATATTTTTATACATGTTGAACATATTCGTTTTATATTTGTATTAGTTTTTTTTGGAAGTAAATCAATTAAAAGTTTATAATCATCAGATATTTGTAATTCTAACCAACATTGATTACAATGTTTTGTTGAACAATAGAAACATTGTTTAAATATTTCTAAAAATTTTGTTCGAGTATGACAACGTGAACAAATATTATCTTGATTATCTATGACCATATTATGAAATAATAAATAATAAAAATAATGAAACATATTTATTTATATTATGTTGACAAGGAGATTCTTAGACAATTTCGAATGAACTATTTTGGTATAAGATTGAAAGAGAGGAAAAAAACAGAAAGGACAAATAAGTTTTGTTGGATGTATGTGAATGTATAACGAAAAGAACGAGAGAACTCGGCAAACAAATACACACACACGAACGAATGGATGAATGAAGAAAAAAAAAATTTTGAGGTATACAAATATACATAATGATTCGATAGACGTATACGTTGCACGCATATTTTAATCACTGAACTCTCTTGCCCGTGTTGACAAGTAGCAAGTACGAAATTTTGTTCGGTAAGAATACAACTGATGTAATATATATATATATAATTATAGGTCGACATCATATTTTCTATATATTTTTGATTAGTTTTTCTCGTCAAGGTTATGTTAGTTTTTGAATGTTAACAGAATGACATTGAAAATTATTGACAAAAAAATAGCATTTGATCGTGTACGACCACAATGGAAACTTAATCCTTTTTTTGCTCGGAATGGATATTTGATTATTGGCAATGTATATTGAGGTCACTTATTCTTACAATGATGTCTGGACATGATGAAAAAAAAGCATTTTTCTTTTGTGTGTCGCGTCGTTTGACCTAACAACAGAAGTAATATAACGATCTTTTTTTTTCATGTCATTCAAATAACTGAAAACGTCTAGTTTTGTTCATAATACAAACGGTCAATTCAACGCTTAGAGGTGTGACGAAGTTTTATTGTATGATTTTTTTTCTACGTAGACAAATATATGTTGATCCATGAGATAAGGAAATAGAGCATGATGAATAGAAGGAAAGAAGAAAAGGAAGGCAATTGTCTTCGTTTGTTGAACAGACAAACAGGAGTAGCCTGTATGGGCGGTATATCGGTTACAATACACAGAGAGTTAAACATAACGTTGAAACAAATTGATCATGCTAAGAGAAAGATCTAGTTGCATTCATCTTTTTTTTCTTGTTTTTGATGATCATTTTTCAGATAAGACAGAAAAAGATTATTTATTTATTAAGGCCAGATGTATTCATATATCATAGAAAGTAAAACCTAAATGCGTGGGTCAAATTTTTTTTTTCTCTACGAAACTCATCAATGAGATTTTATTCATTATGCTAAGCGAGCTAGACACAAAAAAAAGAGAAGAGAAGAAAAATTAAACATGTTGAATGAAATCATTGAGTATGTCATATTTTTTTTTTTTGTCATCTTGTCGTTAATATTATTATGCTAATCATTATTTAGTCTGTTATTGAAAATCATCATATTTTGTTTGCGGTAGAACAATCTTCTTTTCCTGAATAATCAGCGTGAAAAAAATCAATTCTTTTTTCTATCTCACTTCTTCATTTCCTTTCTCTTTTTTTTTTATTCTTCTAACTATATTATTCTAAAGACAGATGATAGATTTGTCTTTTGCTCGGCACATCAATGAACATAATTTGTTTGTTAGTTGTTTTTTTTTTGTAAAAGGAATTGCGAGTTTAAATATTTTATCTTCTAATTATTTTATATGTATTGTATATTTTGCAAATTAATTATATGAATATTAATTGAAGAGAAAAAGAAACGGATTAGATGAAGAAAATATTTCTATATCATTTCAGTTTGTGACATTTTATTCTTTTAGGCGATGTTGTGGCCTTTGAACAATCTTGATACACGTCCTTGACATTAGAAAATAAAAATGAGCATATCTATGTTTAAATTTATCAATAAATTGGCTCTAATTATATTATGCATTATTGGTCTTATAGAATTGGGATTAGCTATGTGGACAGTACTTGAGAATCATTATAAAACGTTAGCATACAATCTTGCTGATGCTGGTTTTATTGTAAGTTTTTCACAGAAAAACAAAATGAAAAATTATTCTTTATTGATTTTTATTGAATAGGACTTATGGATACTACGATATTTATCAATGTGTTTATTTACTTCATCAATCATTACATTAGTCATGTGTCTTATTTTAACATGGGGCTTATATTCAACACATGTATTTATATTTATTTCAACGACAATGATTACTTTAGTTATTATTGCAGAATTAGCAATATCAATAATAGCATTTACAAATAAATTTCAAACGAAATTAACACTTCAAGAACAATTACCAAAATTAGGTAAATTAGATTGATGTAAATTACTATTGAATTTAATTCTTTTTGTTTTATTATTATTACTAAAGTAATTACTTATCGACAAGGTAATGATGAACGTGCTAGTCGAGCTTTAGATATTCTGCAAGTAGCATTTCGTTGTTGTGGATCTGATGGACGTTTATCATATCAAAACAATGTTCCACCAAGTTGTCATATGTATAGTGTTGGATGTCTTACGCGTACAATGTTTTTTCTTGATTCCTGTATGAATGTATTAGCTTCGATATTACTATTATTTAGTTTAATTAAATTACTTCTTGTTATCTATTTTTATTCATTTCTTTGTATGTATGAACAATATAGACAAAAACATCACAAAAATAATTCCCATTTAATAAATGAATCTTCTCATTGGCGTAATTCATCAAGTTTTGAATCATCATCATCAGACAATCTACCAAAGAAAATTCTTCTATCATCTGCAGTAACAAATCAAGATAAAATTACTAATCATGATAATGAATATATTGAAAAACGACGTATTGTACTTAATGAATATGACTCACAATTACCAAATAAACGAGTACAAAATGCTGCAATGATTTTACCACCACCACCACCACCACCATTACCACCACCATTAAATAATAATATTTCAGCACCACCTTATGAACAACAAGTATCAAGAAAATTATCAGCAATATCAGAAAAAAGTGAACGAACTGAAACTGATGATAGTGAACCTGATCTACTACGTACTAAACAATATAATCCAAAACGGAAAGCAATTATAACTGCTGTTAATCAAAAACAAAAACAACCACCACCACCACCACCATTACCTAAAAAATTACCAATGATTAAAAGCCGAAGAAAAATCGGACGAGATGATGACAACGATAATGATTCAGGTATTTTTCAAATAAGATAATTGAAGAAAAATCAAAATACAATGGTTGAAAAAAATTTTGCATTCATGAGTGTTATATAATAAAGAAAACTAGTAGGAAGACAAAGGTCTATAAGAACGTTTTTTTGCTAATTTTTCAATTATGAATAAATATGGTTTGGATTGACGTTTCTGATTATGATTAAAAATTCAATTAGTTAGAACATGCTCAATTTACATTTTTTTTCTATATCGTATTAAAACAAGGGTTGAAGTATCTGTTTTCTCGAGTACTCTATTCTTGAAGAAATACTATATTTCTTATAAATATATGAAAACTCTACGTTTTTCATTAATCAATGGAGTATGAAGAAGAATATTTTATAATTTAATATAACGAACTTTGTTAAAAAGTTTTTCTCTCAACGAAAGTCAAATACAGAATTCTTGTCACTTAATTGAATTGATATAATCTAAACTACGTAATTCAACGTATTTGACAACTACCTAATATGTAGTATCTTGAAGATCTATATGCGTTCTTTATTTAAATGACATTCTTTATCATATATGCTAGCATTTTACGTATAAAATTAATCATATAATTGGATACTTCAATATTCTGCATCTTTCTACGCAATATACTATGAGAAATACACATTTTTTTCTTCGTTATAATATATCTGAGTAAATAAAATCTGCCAGTAACAGATGCTCTATTGAACCTTAAAATAATCAATATCTTTCTTTTTGTTTTTGTTTTTAATCAGGTGTAGAACGATCATCATCAGAAAAATCTTTCGAAGATCAAAACACAAACAAACGAAATTCTGATACTCCACCATCAATTGATACGAATAGAAAACCAAAAATAACAACAAATAAATCCAATGGCAAACGACCACCAACATTAAGTTTTTCTAATGTTTTTGTAACATCTGTTTCACAAGGTGATATAACAGAACAATCACAAAATGATGATATTAAAAATCCTTTAACAACATCTCCATCAACATCTTCATCATTATCTGATAAATTATTATTAACTGATGTAACAATACCAAAACCAATATTAAAAAAATCTAATCAACAATCATCACCATCAAGTGATCAAGATCGTATTCCACCAAGTTATCAGGATCAAAAAAAATTTTCATCTATTATTAATTCAAAATCTTATGTTAAATTAACGGAACAACATTTTATCTCTAATCCAACCAAAATTCATATGCCTTATAAAACAAAAAATTCTTTATTACAAAACATACCAAAACCAGCACCACGTCCAAGTTTAAAACAGTCGTCGATTAATAAACAAGATGAAAGCCTTGTTTAAATATCTTTATTTGTTTTGCTTTTATTTCGAAATAAAATAGGTGTTATAAAATTTATGTTTTACTCAATTCTTTTAATTTTTGTTTTTGTATAAATAAATATTCTTTTTCTTTGTTTAAATGAGGTGAATTTCTTAAAATAATGATCTAAAATGAATTCTATACACAGTCCTTTCTCTCTAATATATATTAAAAAGAATATTACTGAAGTCCATTGAACATGATTTTTTAGATGGAAATATTATACAAAAATCTTACTATAAGAGTCTTTTGAAATCTGGTAATTGAAATTTTGTAAGATCTTATACGATCATATCAGATCATAAGTGTAGATCTTACTTATACCAATAGTTTTGCTAACGAAAGTTTTGTGCATTTAAATAAATATTTAAACAATTAAATAAGTTCTATTTTAGACGCTAATTTTTTTTTTTGGAATTAAAAACACATCATGTGTTTAGTAGTGCTGATTTGTTAGAAAATCACGCCAGATATGATTTGGCTGACTTGAAGTAGGTTTTCTCTTGTTTAAATTGTTTATTTTATTATTGTACATCGTTTTAAAGATCAAATTCAATAAAAATATTTTTAATTGTCTATTAAGCATATATTGTT